AATAAAAATTTTGGATATGTCTGAACTTGTAACCCAACTTATAAACTCCGATCAGAAATAGCTAACTCTGTCACTATTCCAGTTCATGCATATATATTATATAATTCGTTGTATTGTATTATGAAATCATAAATCTCATACAATTTACATGCTGGTTACTTACTGATTATCAAATTCAGTGACATATATAAAATCTAGTTAAAGTATTGTGAACATAAAATTTATGTAGAAAATTATGTAGAGTTTGAACCATTTATTTTCAATATTAAATATAACATATTACAATGTATTATAATTGATTTTATTTTATGCAAAGTAGATTTTTCCAACTAAGAACTGACCTTTGTCATGTATATCAATGACCTTTCTTTTCTTTCTGTATCTTCTTTTTCTATCTCTACTCTTTCCACGTGACGTGACGAGCTTTGTATTTCTTAACAGTGGTTGTGTGTGTGTGTGATATTTCATAATAGTATTTAGACAGTTTCAATGTTTTATGAAATATTAATAGAAAATGAGTGGATAAACAGTAAGTCATTCATTTATTATATTTAGTTGTAGCAAAATGAATTACCCTCATTCAAATAATGTATAATTTGCATGTTATATAAGGTGTCCCGTTGACTTTTGAAAGCAAAATGGGAGGTGTCCTATAAAACATTGTCTGAAAGAAGCTATGAACACTTTAGAAATTTATTCAACTCTTCCACAAGATTTGGGTATGCAAAAAAGTTTGGAGATGTGTTGGCTGTGATCAACTATCTGCAGAAAAACAATTCATAAATTAGGTAGCCACTGGGTCTGTATTTCAATTGATCAAGATGAGAAAGGAGAATATTTTGATTCATTAGGACTGCCTCCATATAATCTCTACATAAGAAAATCATCAAGAAGAACTTTCGAATGTAAACTTACAACAACAAAAAGTACTGAAGGACTGTATTCATGTGTGTATGCAGACAATATTATATATATTATATTTGTTATAGTTGTCGACGTTTGTCCAAGAAAGTTCAGTCCTCAAAGATTTATGAAAAAATGGTGAGTGTTGTTATTCTTTAATAGTGATTAACCACACTTATTATGTAACAAAATTATTTACTACAGAGTTTATTAACTAGTTGTTAAAAATAAAGATAGTGAAACAGTCATTATGTGTGTATAGAAAGTTTGCAGCTCACGTGGTTTGAAGCTAGATAGACTGAACATGTTACAATGAGTCACAGTAAAATGTCTCCATGATGGTACCGAACCACAGATAGAAATGAAAAGAACGTTTATATGCTGCATACTGTCTTACAGAAGTATAGAAACATCTTTTTCAAATGTACATAATTAAATGTATGTTGAAATCTGTATATAACCCTCTGTAACATTGCCCACCCCTTGTAAAATACGTGTAATACAGATAAATATATATAATTGAAAACAAAAACATAAGTAGTGATCTCACTCAAATAATTGCTAAGAGCAGATTTGTTAAAATCCTATGGACAGTGAGATTGTCGTTAAAATAATGGTTTTAACATAATTAAATCTAGACTTTGCTGACGTAATCATATGTGGAAGTGTAGTGTCCACTCTTGTAAAACTCGTGTAATATATAACTATAAATTATCTAGTGTAAAATGAAATATTTGTCAAGTTATATGGATAGCATAAAGTCAAACTAGTCAAACAGTAGATTTTGAATTATTGTATGATATTTAGATAAACGTCTTTTTCTGGACTATGTAAAATGTAAAAGGAAAAAGGAAATGTAAAAGTATGATTAAAGATATGCTTATAAACATTAGTAAGTGAATGAGCCTATAGTAACAGGCATTCTGGTATCGAACTATAATATCACCCCTCCCTTAGATAGCTGCGCCCTCTGGTTACACTTTGTAATCGTCCCCTTCGTAGAACTATGACGTCACCGTCTTTATCCTTTCCCTTTCTCTCCCAAATTGCCTGGTGACCCCCTACTCATCCGGCCTTCTTTGGAGACAGGGGTGGGAGGATAAGTACTGTTGACAAGCATTCTCTAAGTTAGTTCCATATACATGCACGTCGATAATGCACTTTAAATATTTAAGACAGACATTGGTATGAGGCAGTGTTTGTTAGTTTTGTCTCGCATACA